ATATGGAGCAACTAGAACCTTCATAAACAACTGGTAGGAATGTAAAACGGCTCAACTACTTTGGAAAAAACTTTGGCAGTTTCTGAAAAAGTTAAAGTTGCACCTATCATATGAGCCGGTCATTCAATTCTTAGGTTTACACAAGAATAAAGCAAGCATATGTTTCTACAAAGACTTGTAGATTGAGGTTCACAGTAGTATTACTCATAATAACTGCAACCCAAATATTCATCAACAGATGGATAAATTGTAATCTTTAATAGAATACTTATAAACATAAAAGCAATGAACTATCAATATGCATAACAAAAAGGGTAAATCTCAAAATAATTATGCTCAGTGAAACAAGCAAAAAAACCCTGCATATATGATATGATTCCATTTATATAAAACTCTAGAAAATACAAACTAATCTATAATGACAGAAAGCAGAACAGCAGTTTCTTGGGAATAGGGGCCAGAGAAAGAAGGATCAACAAGGGATATGAGAAAACTTCGGGAATAATGGCTACACTCACTATCTTAATGGTGGTGATAGTTTCTTACCAAATTGTAAACACAGTGTAGTTTATTGTGTGTCAATTACACCTCAATAAAGCTGCTTAAATAAGTAAATAAACCCATTCAGTAAAAGATCATGGTTCCACCAGTTATCACATGTGATCTTGGGCAAGATACTTAATTTCCTGAGCTTCAGTTTCCTCATCTGAAAAGATAAATATAATAATCCTTACTTTGAAATTGTAGGTAGAAAATGATCAATAAATGTTGGCTTTCTCTTCTTTAGTTAGCTCTTAGTGACATACAAGCTAGTAAGAAATGTTTCAGGATGACAGATTCTTACCATTTATCTCAAGGAAATAGTGTTTGATTCATGACTACATGAAACATTTTATTATTTAAAAATACATACCAAGCTGGGCGCGGTGGCTCATGCCTGTAATCCCAGCACTTTGGGAGGCTGAGGCGAGAAGGTTGCCTGAGTCCAGGGTTCGAGACTAGCCTGGGAAACTTGGCAAGACCTCGTCTCTACAATAAATCAAAAAATTAGCTGGGCGCGGTGGCATGTTCCTGTAGTCCCAGCTACTCAGGAGGCTGAGGCGGAAGGATCGCCTGAGCGCAAGAGGTCGAGACTGCAGTGAGCTGTGATTGTGCCACTGCACTTCAACCTGTGTGACAGAGTAAGACCCCAACTCAAAACAAACAAACAACAAACCAAATGAGGAACACTGTTCTATATGCAAAGACATAAAAACCAAATGCAACACAAGGATCTGAAGTCAAATAAATTATCCATAGAAGTACATTTTTGACACAGTTTAGGATATCCAATATAAACTTGACTTAGATGATTTTGAGCAATTTAAAAAATAATTATGCTAGATATGATAATAGTACTAAGGTTGGATATGAAAATGTTATTTTTAAAATGTGTATATTAAATATTTAGGATTAAAATATCATTATATTATTTGCTTTAAAATATTTTTGCAAATCAATGGTTAAAACAAATAGGGCAAATTATTAAATAATTATAAACCTAGGTAATGGGCATATGGAAGTCCATACCTTTCTTTCATTTTTCTGTAAGTTTGACATGTCCCATCACATAATTTTCGAAATATATAATACAAATATGCTCCTAGTAACACCAATGTCAAGTGTGTGAAATAAAAACACTTAAATGAATTGACTGTACAGCCATGGTGATTCGATTCAAATTAGGCACAGTTTATTGAACACCTGCCATGTTCTGGTCCCATGGGGCACATGTGGCTCGATTTCCCCTTACTGAACTGTGAGACCTTGAGCAATTTACTTCACCTCCTCATTCTCTCATCTATAAGTTGAGGGTAAGGGGTAGTGCCTCCCTCACAGGGTGGCTGTGAGGATTACTTGAGTTAACATCCTGGGGCTTATGGGGTCAAGAGCTCCTCTTCCGGGGGACAGAAATGGAAACAGTCATTCAACAAGAATTTCACTCCCGTGGGCCATGCACAAGCTGGGTGTTCCCTCGTCGTAGCTTGTAGAATAGGATGGCAATATGAACCATTCTCAAAGAACCACAACCAAACTTGCATACAAGCAACAGTGGGTGCCATGGAAGAAAGGGACAGTGGCTGTCAGAAATTTGCTGAATGATGAGTTAGGAAGTCAGGCTCCAAAGTCAAAGCCATTCAAGAGGGCAGTTCAGTGGCTAAAGCAGAGATTTGGGTCAGAAGACTTGGGTTTGCATCCAGTTCTGACACCTACTATAACTAATTGTGTGACCTGGAGCAATGTATTCACCTCTTGGTTCTTTCATCTGTGCCATGAGTGCAGGAATAGTCCTGACCTCTTAGGGTTGTTGACAACATTACAGTGTTAACAGTGGATGTTGCTTAGAGCAGCATCTGGTGCCTACTAAGTGCTGGATAAGACTGTGTGTTATTTTCTCCATGGTCCTTTGGTACAGAGCAGGATGGAGTGTCATGTTATCAACTCGGTCTCATAGTGTGGCCAGTGAGGACTAAAAAACTTCACATTTTAGATTACTGTTTTCCCCATAAACCCTGACAACACACTTGTCACTTGGAGAGTTCTTTAAATATAAATAAATAAATAAATAAAGTCCTGATGCACAGGCTCCACTCTGAAACAAATGAATTAGAAATTCATTCAACCTGTAAGCCCAGCACTTAAGAAGGCCAAGGCAAATGGATTGTCAAAGCCCGAGGGTTCAAGACCAGCCCAGGCAGCTTGGCGAGACCTTGTTTCTACAATAAATAAAAAATTAGCTGGGCATGGTAGCACACACCTGTAGTTCTGGCTACTTGGAAGGCTGAAGCGGAAGGATCACCAGAGCCCAGCGGGCTGACGCTGGGGTGGCCGTGAGTGTGTCACTGCACTCCAGTGATGCAGTGAGACTCCAACTCAAAAAAAAAAAGAAAAAAAGAAATTCAAGAGATGGAGACGAGGCCTCCATATTTTTTAGAAGCTCCTCCAGTGATGTGCGGCCAGGGTTGAAAACCACTGATGTAGGCATTCAGAATGTAAAAACTGTCTTAAAAGTGTAAAACTCTCCAATGCAATGGGCGTATTATTATTATTACCACCCCAGCAGTGTGCCATCCATGATCTTATAGCACACGAAGGATTTTAGTCTTCAGAAAAGTTTAAGTTATCATAGAAGGAATTCCCCCAAATCCCTCTTCCCCCATACCACCCCCAGTTATGTCAAGAACAGGACAAACATGAAAGCAACCTCTCTGCCCCCCTAGTGATTGAACTCATGTATATTTCCTGGATTGGAACTCCTGGGTGGAAATATTTCTAGATAGAAATCACTCAGCCCAATGAGTGGTGCAGTCTTCTTCACGTAAAGCTACCTTCCTGCATCCAAGATATCTCAAACACAGAAAAGTTAACACTATTGTATGTCATGAGGGTGGGGAGATGAAGGAAACATATTTTAAACACCAAGGCATTACTTTTCCATTTATAAAGCAACAGCTCAGGAAACAAGTTTATCAACTTTTTTTTTTTTGAGTTGGAGTCTCACTGTTGCCCAGGCTGGAGTGCAGTGGTACGACCTTGGCCCACCACAGCCTGGAAATCCTGGGTTCAAGCTTTCCTACAGCCTGTCTCCCCAGTAGCTGGCACTATGGGTACACGCCACCACGCCCGGGTAATTTTTTTTACTTTTTGTAGAGATGAGGCCTCACGATTTTACCCAGGCTGGAATCAAACTCCTGGACTCAAGCAATCCTCCGTTTCTGCCTCTCAAAGTGCAGGGATTACAGGCCTGAGCCTTAAGCTTACCAATTTTTGAGGGGCTAAAGTGCTCCAGAGCTCAATGGAGTCATGATTACATTTGGGTGGATACAGTTGTGAAGACACCTCAGCTGTGTATTTATAATCTGCACCTCTTTTTTTTTTTTTTTTTTTGAGTTGGAGTCTCACTCTGTCGTCCAGACTGGAGTGCAGTGGCTACTCCCGGCCACCGCAGCCTCGACCTGCTGGGCTCCGACGATCCTTCCGCCTCAGCCTTCCAAGTAGCCGGAATTACCACACCCGGCTGATTTTTTGACTTATTGTAGAGATGAAGTCTTGCTGCACAGGTGGGTCTCAAACCCACGGGCTCAGGCAATCCATAATCTGCACCTTTTATTGAAGGCAAGGTACACTTCAATTTTAAAAAGTAGCATAAGGGTGTGGGCGGTGGCTCAAGCCTGTAATCCCAGTACTTTGTGAGGCCCAGGCGAGAGGATTGCCTGCGCTCAGGGAATTAAGACCAGCCTGGCAACTTGGTGAGACCTCATCTCCACAATAAATCAAAAAATAAGCCAGGGGTGGTAGTGCATGCCTATAGTTCCAGCTACCTGGAAGGCTGAGGTGGAAGGATCGCCTGAGCACAGCAGGTAGAGGCTGCAGTGGCCGTGAGTGTGCCACTGGGTGACAGAGTGAGACTCCAACTCAGGAAAAAAAAAAAGTAGCATAATCCAGGCGCAGTGGCTCACGCCTGTAACCCCAGCACTTTGGAAGGCCAAGGTGAGAGAATTGCCTGAGTCCAGGGGTTCAAGACTAGCCTAGGCAACTTGGTGAGACTTCGTCTCTACAATACATCAAAAACTTAGCCCGGTGTGGTGGCGCACGCCTGTAGTTACAGCAACTTGGAAGGCTGAGGCTGAAGGATCCCCTGAACCCAGCAGGTCGAGGCTGCGGTGGCCGTGAGCGTGCCACTGCACTCCAGCCTGGGCGACAGAGTGAGACTCCGACTCAAGAAAAAAAAGTAGCACAGGAGGAAATATGGTTGGTAGGGGGAAAAAAGTCGCTGGCAGTGAGGTTCTCGTGGGGAAAAAAAACCAAAGAGAAGAGTCCACGTCAGCCCCAAACGCCCTCCGTGACCTGCCCGCCCTGGCTGTCGGGGTTTGGAAGGGCCCACGCGCGCCCTCGATGGGGACCGTCCGGGACGGAGGAGACGGAGCCCAGGCCCCGCGGCCCGGGCGCGGCGTCCTTACCCAGCAGCAGGAATGACAGGAGCCACTGCAGCACCGCCGCCGTCTGCAGCCGCCGCGCCAGCGGGATGTTGAGCGGCGCAAACTCCACTTTCATGGCGCGGCCGGGCGAGGACAGCGGCCGTCTGCGCCCCTGCGGCTCTGCGGCGGCCGCGGGAAGCGCGCGGCCCGGTCCCGGCCCGGCTCGGGACACCCGCCTGGCGGAGACGAGGGGGCGGGGCCGGGCGGCGGGCGGGGA